CCGCATACTATATTTTCAGGAATTATGTAAATAGCTCGCGCCATTATCAGGCAGTTATTATTATTAGGAATAAAATAAGGGGACCTGCCGATGCCGCACAGTCTTCGTTTCGCACTGTACTAAATTTCGACGCGATTATAAATCGACTCGACTTTACGTACAGTGATAAGCGTCAGATTCACGTTATCGAGCAAGAAATGGGTACTCTCAGGCAGGGAAATCTAACCCTCCTGCAATACTACGACGAGGTCGAGAAAAAACTCACCTTTCTCACCAACAAAGCTACCATGTCGTACGAAGCCTCGGCGGCAAAAGTTTTGTGTGACAAATTCCGGGATGACGCACTCCGAGTATTTATCTCGGGGCTTAAGCGCAGCCTCACGGATGTCCTTTTCTCGGCAAAGCCGAGCCCCACAAGCCCAAATGTCTCTATAGACATGCAATTCGAGCATGAATTAATTCTTTTGGGCGATATTATAGGTACAGCTCCACATGAGCAGCCCTTTCACCACTAAAGGAGTATAAGACAATTCTCCAGCGACTCTGAGTCCGAGGCCGCAAATATGGCATTCAGCATGGAACAAATGACGGCCACTATACAGGCGGCCGTTACCCATGCCTTTCGGGAAGCCAATATCGAACACCAGCGTAGGGAAAACGAAATGCGCCTGGCTCTTCAAGAAAGCCAGCGTAGACGAAATGAGCTACGTCTAGCTATACAAAAACTGACCGAACGGGTCGACGCAACACAAATCACTCCCGCCCAAGCGGAAGCTCCCCAAATTAAAGCCTATAAACCTATAGAAATTAGGGACGACGTCAAATGTGACGAGCCCCTAGATGCTGTCAAGTGCCTGCCCGAATTTACGGGAGCACAGGACGCATACGTCTCCTGGAGACAAGCGGCAGTAGCCGCATACTATATTTTCAGGAATTATGTAAATAGCTCGCGCCATTATCAGGCAGTTATTATTATTAGGAATAAAATAAGGGGACCTGCCGATGCCGCACAGTCTTCGTTTCGCACTGTACTAAATTTCGACGCGATTATAAATCGACTCGACTTTACGTACAGTGATAAGCGTCAGATTCACGTTATCGAGCAAGAAATGGGTACTCTCAGGCAGGGAAATCTAACCCTCCTGCAATACTACGACGAGGTCGAGAAAAAACTCACCTTTCTCACCAACAAAGCTACCATGTCGTACGAAGCCTCGGCGGCAAAAGTTTTGTGTGACAAACTCCGGGATGACGCACTCCGAGTATTTATCTCGGGGCTTAAGCGCAGCCTCACGGATGTCCTTTTCTCGGCAAAGCCGAAAGATATGCCTTCAGCTCTTGCTTTGGCACAAGAAGTGGAATCTAACCACGAGAGGTACTCCTTCGCGGCTTCATTTGCTAAAAGCCAGGAGGACAAAGACAAAAATCCGTACTACGCCAAACAACGCAAGGCGCAGGTACACTCTGCTCCACGCAGTGCAAATACCCATGAACCCATGGACATCGACCCATCGCGGTCCAAGATTCTTAATCCATCTCATGCCCCGTCATACCAAAACTGGGATCCAACCGTGTCCGATCGATCGGGCCTACACAACAAGCAGAAGGTTAACCACGTCGCGCAGAGCACAGGTGGAACCGGGAATAAATATGCAGCCGCAGCTTCAAGCACGGCTCAGGAAATTGACGACGACGTCATTTAAGATTATGATTCGGACGTCATTAATTTTTTAAGGGAATATCCCTGCTACACGTCGGCCAACGACAAGAGGCAAGCCGACGGGGTTTAAACGGAATCGAATGACCCGCAATACGCGATACAGGATACGGTTAAACACGCACAGAATAAGTTTCGCGACAAGAGAAATGCTTCCCGGCAAAACAGGGTTTTCGAAGATGGCGAAAAGATCCTAGTGTAGTCTAGCAGGCGACTGAGCAACAAACTATCACCTTTGTTCGAGAAAAAGCCCGTGGAAGCGGACATGGGGACCACAGTCCTCATTAAGGGGAGGGTGGTCCACAAAGACAACCTTAGATAGGCCAAGCGTGACTCAACTATCGCCCGGCTAATAATTTTAAATCTTTTTTTTATTGTCTTTTTCCTAGCCACTTGGCATAAGCTTTTGCTTCCATTATTATTTTAATCATGCTTTACTGGTGGGCTACCCAGTTTCAATTGAATTCACAGCACATCCAATTTACAGGTTTTCAACCAAAACCCTGATTTTCCTTTTGGCCGCAACATTGGCACGCGTCTTGGACTATTCCAAAGCCAAATACATTCCCATCATTGATGGTCGAATCCTGATATGGGAGGAATTCGCTTTTATAAAGCAGTCAGCGAATCTCTCGGAATATAGACCGTCATCGAAGAAACTAATGGGATGACCGTCATGTTCCCGCAATCTCACATGCAAAAACTCCTAGTTGTTGATGTCGCCCACCTACGCGACCTGCTCGACTCTTTGAGCATCCATCATAGGAAAGCAAGAAGTTTAGTCTTCTTAGGGACTGCGCTAAAAGTAGTGGCAGGAACGCCGGACGCAGAAGATTTTGAAAGAATTACATTTAAAGAATTCCAATTAAAAAATGCAAACAATAGGCAGGTTAATATTAACAACAAAGTACAAATTCAAATCAAAAAAATTTCCGCTACCGTCAATCAACTTCTGAGGTCAGCAAAAAAGTCCCAAATTGATACTGGGCACCTATTCGAGATGCTTTTAACTCGAAATAGGATGATAGCAATGGAGCCGCAGGGGTTGATGCTAGCAGTGGCACTTGCCAAAGTTAATATTGTTAGCCCCAGCATCCTAGATCATGCAGACCTGGAAGGTGTGTGGATGGAAGAGCCCACCGAGAGATTAAAGATGTTTTGTCCGTATTGTCCGTTAAGATATTACAGTCCCATAAAATATTACACTTTATTCTTAAGTTTCCGAAGATAAAGTCGGCCTGCAGCAAGATCACCGTTTTCCCAGTGTCACATCACGACACCATGCTCAGGCTGGAAGACAACGTCATTGCCGAATGCGACAGCGAGATCCACACCGTGGAAAAGTGCTCCCCGAAATCAGGAGCTACATTTTGCCGACTGGCTCGCAGAAGATCATGCGCCCAAGAGCTTCATGCTGGAGGCACGGCGCATTGCGAGATCCAACAAAGCGATTTACACCCCATCACTTACGTTGATGACGGGATAGTAATTGTAAATGATCGCTCGGCTCACGTGTGTGTGGATAATGGCACCTGTGTCCATATAAAGGGCACATATCTTATCACTTTTGAAAAGATTGCCATTGTCAACGAAACCCGATTGGTCAATCATGACACAGCCCAGAAGCGGGCTCCAGGAGTGGCCAGCTCACCTTCCCTGAACGTCACCATGGAACGTAACGTTCTTAGCCTTCCTTACCTTCACCGACTGAGTGAACGTAATCTGGATCACATCAAAGAGTTCGGGAAGGAGATTAACCACCATCAGTTACATCAGTTGGTGTTCATAGCGGGAGCAATATGCTGCGCTATAATTGGCATCGGCTTGACCTATCGGCGAGTCACTCAGGCCCGAAAAACCGCGGCCTAGCTGAAGGAGATGATTGCCCAAATAGGGTCGGCCGAGGGCGGCAAGCACTGCACATTTGCGTGGCCGCTATGAAATACTTTTTGTAAGCTTTAAGTTTTAGTTTGTGTCAGAGTCTCATACAATAAAGAGCACCATAGAACCAATCTCCGGCACTGCCGTTAACTTGTAAATTCATTTGTTGAATTGGTCACCGCGCCTCAAGGGCCGTGACAACGGGGCAAGTGCTCCCATCATAACTCCCGTCACAGAACGGATCTCCCCTCGGCAACCGCCAGGGATCCCAACCACTACCTACAAGAAGTAGCAACCCCCCACCCCAAAAAAAAAAAAAAAAAAAAAAATAAGAAAGACAAGAATAGTGAAACATTGTGCCTTACGTTAACAAAAAACTGCAGCCCCATAAAATTTTTAAAAATTTAAATAAAATTTGAATGGACCCAAGAAAGAAGAAGCCAGGTGGAACAGGGCGGGATCTAACCGCTGTGATTGCAAGGAAAGAAGGGATCAAAAAGACAAAAAATTAAGGAAAGAGAACGGAGGAGGAGGAGGACACGTGAGAAAAATCTTATTCAAAATTCTCAATAATTTTCTACGGAGCTCTAACGTAAGTACGAAGGAAAAATGTAATCGGAAGCATAAAATTATAACTATTCATTGATCTTGAGTACATTTCGAAGAAACAAGACTCGGAGCTCATCATCCAACTGGAGCCACCCGAAGGCGAAAATTTGTGAAAACGTGAAATACAAAATGTGAGAGTGCAGATCGGTGTAAAGAGGAGTTTAGGGAAGGCCGGTGATTATCCCAAGGATCCCAGATTTGGACCAAGGAAGGGAAGCCTTCATTCGTCCCAATACCGTAGTTTTCTCTTGGTGAATTGATAAATTGTGTGACGTTGTTTTTACTTTTGTTTGTTTGGAATCTATTAATTTTTTTTCTTTTTTATAAATTTAATTAACAACTGCAAATGTTGTTAACGCGTGCTAGCCGGCGAAGTGGAAAAATTCCGGATAGAAAAATAGGCAGACCCTTACAAATTTAATGCTCTAACAAACCAAAAAAGTTTAAAAAAATGTCTTGGGAGGGTATCACTGACCCTGTAAAACGGGATAAAAGAATACAATTTTTAATCTTTTTGCTAGGGATCTGTTGGGACCTCTTCGATGCGTTCAATATTATATGCATGAGCATCCATGTAAATTTCTGGTATTTTTTTTTTGCAATCTAAGTGCGGCTCCTCATTCCCATAGCTGGAAAACAGTTTTTGTTGATCTGAGCAAGATCAAACTTTTTTGTTGCCCAATGATATGTTGTCCGATCTTATTATTAGGCTTTAGGATAAACTAAGGTTTTTTAGTAGATGTCTAGCCGTTAACATTTGGGGGTAATGCGACGCGGCATCTGGCAACTCTGATTGCACATGTGCGGATAACGTACATACATTTGTACACAAGGTCTTGAAACTCGTTGTCGTCGTGGTTTAAATAGTGAGAATCAAATTTAAAAAAACAGAACGGTAAATAAGAATTTTAGTTTCGCAATTAGGTTCCTTAAATTAAAAGAAAAAGTTTTTTTTAGTAATGATTCTTGTATAATTGGCACAACTTTGTATGTATACATGAAAAGAAATAACTAATATACTTATGTACATATGTAGATATATGTATTCGGTATATTTGTGTGTATGTTCGTTTTTTTTTTTGTAAAATTAGAATTATTTTAAAATCATTTTCTTAGCTTCAAATAAATCGGTCTATTGGCTTTTTATGTAAATGTACATATGTATATAAATATGTACATGGAATTTTATATCCGAATTGCATATTTCGTTACTGTCGTCCACGTATGACAATACACACATTTACGATTGGAGAACCAATAAAAAATACATATGTATATGTACATACAAACATGACCATTTGAGTTTTAGATACATGCATATGCATGTGTGTGTGTACATATGTACAGTGGTATCCGTTCAGAGATAAACAAAAATTGTTGTCCATTTAAAAGGTATTGCACATTCTATGTCATCGTTTATATTTCTAACACAATCGATTGGGTAATGGACCAATATGTCTAGTAAAAAATTTGAATGGTTTTATGTGTTTAATTTTTAGGGTTTTTTGAAGCAGTTAAGGAATTAACTTTAAGAACATAATGGTTTTGTATTGCTAAATTGTTAAGAAAATAAATGTGAAGTGTAAAAAATGAGTGCCGAGCTCCACTTAAGATATGTATGTCAAAAGGGACAGTGAACCGTCTAGTGGGGCAGGCAAATATCTAACAGTGCCGCTCAACTTTAACTGTTTGGTTAAGGTTTGAAACGTTGTATCTCTGTAGCAAGAGCTCCGATTTTCTCTAAGTTTCGGTATATAAAGAAATCTGTCTTTTATAAAAAAGCAAAGTTTCTGTTCTGTAAGTTTGTTTTTATATTATTTGAAATTATTTTTCAAAATCAACAAAAAATGCTTATTATTTTTGGGTCAACTAAATACATAGGTTTGATCACTAAAACTATTAAATTTATTAAAATTAAGGAACATTTCAAGGTACTGCCTAACTTAAAAAATAAAATACATTATTTTTGAATTATTTAGTATTTTGTATGCCCACCCACGTTCTTAATTAATTAAAAAAGGTACGTCCAAGGAATGCGACCATTAATCTCAGAAATCTGAGGAAAAGCCTTTGTAGTACATTCTTGTAGTCATTTGCATTCATCTTTGAGGTGACAAATTGCAGCTCCACCTTCACACGTGTGATGACGACTTAAAAAGTACTCTTTCTTTCTCAAATCATGGAAATAATAGTTATACCCATCGGGTTCATCGAGATTGAACTTCTTTTCGTCGGAGAAGATCACCGTCTTCCACTCCTTGTTCTACGTCATGTGCGCTTTTGCAAATCGAAGTCGCGCACTCTTACGAGCATCGTTAAGAGGTGGTTTTTTTTTTATTTTTAGTCTCTTCAAATGTTTTGCACTTCTAATAATTCGCTTAACCGTTGCCACACTTGAATTTACGCCACATTGTTCTCTTATTTTATGTGCAGATAGGTGAGAGTTTAAGGCAGTACGCAGAATAAGTCGCCTCTCTGATGCTGTCGTTGCGTATTTTTTCCCGCCTTTCATTTTTTTTCCATCGTCTGCTTCATTACGAATAAAATTACTGAAAATGTTTTGACTTCGGCCGATTTTCTTAGCTAGTTCATTATTTTTTAATCCGATATCAATATAGCCTGTTATTTGACCTTTTTAAAAATCGGTTAACCGTTTTACAAAATATTGATGAACAATGATAACAATTTTGTAATGCAATTGAATTCAAGTCGTTTCAATCCCGCAGTTAAATACAAAGTGAATTCAAAGCTGCCAAGCCTAATCAGATGAGCCAAAAAAAAAGCGCTCATTTACAGAATTTCAAGATAACAGCAAAATTTCTTGCAAATAATGAGTAAATGAATGAGAATTAAATTAAAAATTAAATAGAAAAAAAAAAACCAATTGGAACAAAGATATAGTGAAAAGTGTAAGAACGATTTTTCAAACCTATTCAGTTGAACGGCACTGTATGTCTCCTATCACTTTAAAATCATCTGTAAAATTGATTCAAGTTTGGGAACAATAGGAAGAATACTTTAAGAAAAATTTTTAATAGATAAAAGTTCTGGAAAAGTGCTCAAACAAAAAAAACAGTTAAGTTAAAGTTAAGCGCCTAACTTTCGTAAGTCTCTATTCGACGAACGCCTCTTAAGCGCCTCTATTTCGACGGGCATTCGAAATAGCCCTTGAAAATATGTAGAAACATTATGTGGTAGTATGAGTCCAAAATTGTTTTTTTTTTTTTTTTTGGCTGTTGGTCCTAGCTAGCAGTATATTACAAGAGCCACCTAGTATAATATTCGCCAAAACATACATTCAAAAACTTTTCCATCCAAATTGAGTTGACAGAATTTTTCATACTATTAGGTTCGACCATTTATTGGGTTAAAATCATCACTAATGGTCACCATTACTCAGAAAAATTTTAAGCCATGTTATACTTTCGTATTTTTTAAAGGTCATGACACTTTTTTGGAAGTTTTAAAAGAATAAAGCTCTACTGCTGAGTGAGGTTCGATGGTAAGATACCAAGAGTCTTGAGTAAGACAGAGATGGCTGTATACGCTCGACTTGAGTGAGTTTATGACGTGAGCGCGTATGCAATAGTTAGTTGAGCTTGGGTATTCGAACCGATCGGAACTCGCTGTGCAGCTGCGTCAATCATCAAAAGCATCAAAATGGATAACATACCCTTGCCGCCGACATATATATATTCAAATTACCATAAAAACGTGTTAAAATTTTGAACGCGGGGATATCGAAGTCTACACGAGATGGAACTACTCGATTTGGAACTTGAACTCGTATAGTATTGGCGAAGACGAAGTTTTTGTCATATTTTTGGCACGCTCACTTCGGCCCCTCAAAACGGAAATCTCGTTGTAGCGTCAGTTCAAAAAATGTATTGGAAAAAGTTTCTGAATAGCTTCTGTTTTTTTTTCACAAGCGCACAAGCGTATGCAACAAAAATTATTTTATGAAAATCTATACCAGTGGTCGGCACTAAATACATTAATATGATTAATATTAGTAACGAGTATCAGTAACGAATAGAAAAAAGTAGTCTTGAGCACGACGTTTTATACATTTCTCGGGCAGAATAATTTTCTATGCTCCTGGAATAGGGCCCTTTATTTTTTTTAAACGTTTTGAATGTGGAAATTTTAATTTTAAGATAAGCGCACTGCTACCCAATTGGCAGCTTAATCTAATCGGTTTTTACAATTTTTAACAATAGTCTAAGCATTACTTAGGGCAAGAAATTATTTCATGGTGTTTTATTTTATTTTTATTTTTATTTTTTTTATGTTTATGTTGATGAGGAAATGCCTAGGTCAAGATCCGGTCTGGTAGGTCTTGAGGGTGGTGTCTTTCCAGTCTTCTCTTGATTCAATTCCTTGGATCAGCGCTCCTGATAGAAGCGGTACCCAAGTTTTTTGGCTAGTGATACTTTTTTGGTTATACCAGGGAACTTTATAGGTTTGATTAAAGTGTGGGAGGAAGAGATGAGTTCCGGGTATAATAAAGTCGGGAAACTATCGACCGTTTTTTTCAGTTATTTTGTAAAGTTTAGTTATTTGATGGATTATGATATTTCTCATGTTGGTTATTTGGACCACTAAGTATTTTATCATCTGTTTAACTTCACGTAGGACTCCTTGTTGCTGTGTTGCTTGTAGATAGTTTTTTCTGGCTATGGTTTAGTGGTGAAACCATATTTCGGTAAGTACTATAATACGATATTTTTGGTGACCGAAGGGTTTGCTACAATAATTTCGCTGTTCCGCTTGCATCGTTGTCTTTCTTAAATTTTTTTTCGTTGTTGTCGTTTTTGTTTCCCCTTTTATTTCGTTGCTAAGGAAACCTGAGGGAAAACAAGTATGCCCTCTCCCACGTTGCACTGAGAGGGCGATCGATGTGCTGTTGTTGTTTTTAGCATTTTATTTAATTGTACAATAAACATTGTTTATGCTTAGCCTATTATGTGCGCCTTGAGCACACTCTGAGAAAAAATTTTACTCTTATTAATTTTTTCTATCTACGTATATTGGATGTCTACTAATTTCACAATGTGTGTTTGTCATTCCGCTGAATAGAGTTTATTATTATTTCGAGGCAATTTATACAGGTAATTATTAATAATATGTATAAATGCAGGATGTGATTAAAAATCGTAAATACGCTATGGAGTAACCCCTCGAGACTATTAAAAATAAGGTGTAAATTTAAAAAAAAAACATCGAAAATAATAAGCACCAGTCAGCTTTTTTTTGATAAGGAGATCTCAAGAATTCTTGACTATATTTTACCCGGTACACTTTTCCACCCGTATTTTAACTAAAATTTGACTAAAATTTTGGGACTTATTTTTCGGCTAAAATTAATAACTCATAAACGAAGCAAGATATTTTAATTTGGTTGAACTAGTCTTCTTTTAAAAAAAAAAAGGTATTCTTTTGAAAAAAATGTTTTCTACCAAAGCAAGCCCAGCGCATTGGAAATATATTGAAATTAACAAAGACTCGGTGAATCCAGATTAGATCATACAAACTACAGATATAACTCGAATGGGTTCGATTTATAAGCAACAAGTCCCTGCGATACAGGTCCCTCGAGCCGGATCGTCGCAAAAACTTTGGATTCGGGATATTTTAAAAATTTCGCCCTTGTGGAGGGGATTTATAGATTCTTTAATTGTATCGAATAATCACCCCAACACAAAGCTTACCCGAGCATTTAAGTCGGTATCCCGGTTTGGGGAAGATATGCAATCAATTGATACGCTAGAGACACGTCTAGCTCAACTTCAGGACAATTTTCTACGCTTTGTCCAACTTTCGGATGAACTCTACAGGTACCAAGATGAACCAGATTGGGAGAGCCCTGACGATCGACCTCTATGAGAAGAATCG